TCCCTCCCTCATCCCCGTCCCTGCTCAGCCCACTTACCCCTGGCTGAAATCATTCCAGCAGCCTCTCCCTGCCTCCAACTAGTCTCTCCTGGTAATATCAACTCCAGGCTGCAGCCAGAAAGTTCCTTCTGACAGTTCCCCAGCCCCGCGAGCACCACCCCTAAAATACAATACAAAGTGGTTTTTTTAGCCTGTTTATTTTGAATGCTTCCAGAATGTGAGGCCAGGAAGAACCCCTGGGTGTGGGGTGTGGGGTGTGGGGGTCTCAGCCATGGGTTGGTCCATAGCAGGTTGTCAGTGAAGATGTGAGGCTGGCAGAGGCTGAGCCGGGGGAGTCGCCTGGACTGGCTTGCATCTCAACTGACCATGAGCACAAGTTTCTATGTGTTCTTTCTGCCATAGCCCAGAAAAAGCTTTCAGATTCTCAATGTCAAGTCTGCATGACATAAGGTAACATAGTGTAAAGAGAAGATCAGACTGGAAAGAAAGCATAAATAGTAATTAATAGATAATAATATAACCCCCACCCTGCCCTTTGCTATGTGACCTTGAGCAAGATATTTCCCTTTTCTGGGCCAGTTTTCCCCCAAAAGGGGTTGAAGCTGGAACGACACACTCCTTCCCCCTCTATTGGCCGATGAGAGGCAACTTGGCATTGTGAAGGGAGGAGAGGCTCGGAAGGCCATGGCTAGTGTCCTGTCTTGGATCTGTCACCAATACCTGAGCCTTCATTTCCTCACATGTTGGGCGGGAGGGGCACAGCATGCCTTCTTCTTGGGACGATAGAGGGGCTTTCATGAAATAATGTGTGTAAAATGCTCTGCATAAGCGCATTTCTCCAAGGAGCAGCTGAAGTCTCTTGTGCTCAGGCCAGATCTTCTGTGTACCCCTATCCCCCATACCTATGGACCTTGCCCAAGATGGCTGAGCAAAGGGGTTTTTTTTTCTTTTTTGAGTCAGAGTCTCACTCTTACCCAGGCTGGAGTGCAGTGGCAAGCTCACAGCCACTGCAGCCTCAACCTGCTGGGCTAAGTTGATCCTTCCGCCTCAGCCTTCCAAGTAACTGGAACTATAGGCATGCACCACCACACCTGGCTAAT